GTGGGAGACCGGGAAGACTAGTCAAATAGCAATGGAAATAAGGAGATACAAATTGGCAGTACTTGGAATCAGCGAAATTCATTGGACCCTAGTTGGACAGCAAAAGCTAGATACGGGAGAAGTGCTGCTGTTTTCTGGTCACGAAGAGGGAAATGTTCCACACACTCAAGAAGTTGTTCCAATGCTCTCCAGAGAAGCAGCAACTGCACTTGTAGGATGGGAATCTCACAGATCCAGAATCACCAGAGCATCATTCAAAACAAAGAAGGGAATCAAAATGAATGTTATCCAATGTTATGCACCCACCAATGATAGCAACGACGATGATAAAGATCAGTTCTAATCAAGGCTGCAATCAATCATAGAGTAGTGCCCAACTCAAAGAATTTGAGATAACCCTCAACATGTTTCAAGCTCTACATGATCAATTGAAAGAAGAAACTACGATGTAGGACAACTGGAAGCGAATCAAAGAAGTACTAACTTCAATGTGTCAGGTGTTGGTCGACAACAAGCACAATCATAAGGAATCTTTTTTATTTATTTATTTATTTGAACGCATAAATATTGGTACAAAGGGGCACCAGATATATATGCGACACACGAATCTCATTTGATTTGTGTGAGGGCTGAACTACTGCCCAGGTGCCCAGACTGAAGCAGGTGGTTTTCTTAGGGGGCCACACCCCAAGCCTTTGATCTAAAGGTCTAACCCACAAGGCAGTGGAGAATAGTAAGAAGATGCAGTCCCATGGTAGCCGGTGACTAACGATTGATTCATACGTCACTTGTTCCCTCAGGATACTGGAGCCCATGTGCACCATTGGTTTGGAATCAAGGTTTTCTAACTCCCCTAGGTGAACTCTCCGTGTCCATCAACCTGGTTAAAGCGCCGGACATTCGCTTTTCGTCCTCTCAATTTCGTAAACAACACCCCCGCCACGAGAAGGCAGTGAGTAGGACTCCCCTGACAGAGGCTATATACGCGTGGCCATGTGAGAGTATTCGAGAGGGAGAGCGGACTTTCCCCACTTTCGGCTATGCCAGAGCATTTGGGGGCATAAAGCTACCGAAGAAATTTCAAAAGGCCCAGGTAAATACTTTAAACATGAAGTCACATGCTAGATTTGTGAGTGCTTATGATTGCACTTAATCCAGAACAATACGCTGATCCTCTGTAAAAGTTTCAATAATGGGGAACTTCGTTGATTAAACCATCGTCTTCCAACATAAAGTCGATAAGTATTGGAACCACTGTGTAAGCAAATTTATTGATACTTACTCAGTCAAACGCTTGAACCGGGTGGATGGATAGGAAAGATCCACCTAAGGGAGTTGGAGAACCCTGATTTCTAACCAATGGTGCACACGCACTACGGTATCGTAAAGCGACAAACAGCGTATGAACCTATTGGTCACCACATGCCATGTGATTGCATCTCCTAACGTTGATCCACTGTCTTGTGGATTAGACCCTTAGGTCAAAAGCTAGAGTGGCTCCCTGAGAAAACCACCTGCTTTGGTACAGGCTTCCGGGCAGTAGTTCGGCTCTCACACAAATCGAATGAAGTATGGTGCATATACGTTTGGTGTCATATATCAATGTTTATGTGCTTAAATAAATATGAAAGCATCAATCAGTCTAATCCCACATAAATCACGACGAAACCCAAAAATTGGTAAAAATCTCATTCTGCTGTATTCAAAACTATGTTCTCATTTACAGAAACTCAAAAATTCATGATACTGGTTGCTAGATAAGAATAACGTTGCTGGAGGTAAAACATAACACACCTAATCCACTCAGCTAAACTCAAAATCAAGGTGCATTATAGTCATATTACTATGTAAATGATTAGATTCAAAAGCCATCGTAAAAATAAGTCACAGAACGCCGAAGGACACATATTACAAACACTGTATTCATAATCAAATTACAAGGTATGACGCATTCAAAAGAAAATTCATTCAACTACTTCTATTCTATGGTCAAGTGTTAAGGGATTTTAAAAACCGAATTTCAAAGGGTTTCAATCCTGATAGAAAGTGGGGTTATTCGAAGTGGTGAAAATAACTGAAACAAAAAGTTGTACACTTGTGCTACTGAAAGTGACCTAGGATTGATGTTTTAGGGATGTTTAAACATTAACTCATCCGCCACAAGATTACTTATGAACTACACTTGAAGTAAGAGGGTCAATGATACTACCCAGTTGTTCAAAATCTAAGTAGGTGGAGCGGGTTTTGAACGTAGGACTTAGAAAGTGAGTAGAACAAAATCACAGCTATCATATTTAAAATACAGTTCTGTTTGAAGTGTTATAACTTTTGAACCTTAGGTTCATGAGACGTGGATGTAAACCTTTATCAAAACTGTGTCCAAACACATTAATGGGTTCAAAATACTCCAAGTTTAAAGATAAACACAGAAACCAAATCAAGTGTAACATGGACAATTAGACTTTAGGCCGGTTGTTAATTAGTAGTCTGTACAATTGAGCTCGAAATTCAAACCCTCACAAAATTTCAAGTAGAAACATTACCAGCAGATATACAAATAGAAAGCTAATATATTTACACTTAATTTAGCATCCAAAATCATTGTTAAGAACATTGGTCACGTAAACGAACATTAGTGAATGCACCCCTTCAAATATGACACAGCTGCCCTTCTTATATGAACGCAACTGATTTCCATACTAATTGGGCTTAGATAAAAATACTAGGTATAAGGCAATCAAATTAGAAACAATAATAGGGAAAATTTCATTTTGAGCTACTTAGCGTTTGCTATCGAGGCTTCGTATTGTATTTCTCTAATTAAATAAACGTGAAATGGAGTTTCGCATGAATTGACAACTAAACCAAGTATGTTTACAAATCAGAAAGTTTCCTTGCATCTTCAATTCTGAAACTTAAAAGACAGCATACTTTAAGACGACTGAGTCTGTTAAGAAGTCATTACTGAACAGAGGGAATAAAGTGGGTCAATAAAATACTAATCAACATACCTCCAACCCTGTACATATTATTAGATGTCATAGTTGGGATTCACTACATGTAATCGCAAAACGCATACGTCAAGGCCATCTGTCAGCTGCCATTTGATTATACCGGCTGAACTAACCGGAAGCTCTTGAACACTGGCATAGTGATTTCACACTGGTCTTAAAAATAAGCTGATTGTTGGTCCTAATTGTAGAATCGGTTTTACAAAAGTTCAGAATTTAGATGTTTCAACTAGGAAAGAACTTTATGAATTGCATCTAAGGTCTTGGTTGGTCATACTAAATACATCTAACAGAATATTATCCTCTTACGCTATAAACTTAAGTAGTTCCTCAAATCTGCTTTGAGAGCAAAGTTCGATTTTGAATCAAAAGTTATATTCTGTGAGAAAATCGAAATAGATGTTTCTATGATGAGTTTTCCCCCAACATTTTGCTTTTCTCCCACCCCACACTATCAGAAAGTTTAACAATCACCTACCGACTATGGTGGTGTAGCTGTAAATAATTCCCCAAAATCAATAGCTCATTAAGTGTTCGACATTGGATGCTGACCACGTTGTTTAAGTGGACTTGTTTAGCTGAAGGCTTTCGGTCATGCATCCGCACCAGATCACGTTTCAATACTGCGTGGGACACAGCTCCTACGTTTCATTAGCCAGCTCATAGAAAAGGTCCTCGATATATTGGTAACGAATCAAATATATCTTTCCTGCCTCTTCTCGTTTGACTTCTGATTTTCTATCTGACTGGTAACAACCGAATTTAGAAGGTGCTACTGGTATCTAGTTGTAAAACTAGAATATCCGTTGCATCATCATTGGTGAACCCGACGTGATCTGGTACACCAAGTCAATATACTGTGAGTCTGTTCCATTTTGGAATATTATTATTTATTGTTATTCTTTATTTGAATTTTATATATTGTGATATACTTTTTTCGCGAATTTTTTTTTCTCGAATATATTTTACTTAGACATTTTTCGATATCTATATTACTATGACGGAACACTCTCCTAAGGTTCTTAAGTTAAAGTCTATTCCCCTTATTTCGATTCAGTTAACGCCATTTTGGCCCGACAATATCGAGTCCTGGTTCTGCTATGCAGAAGCCGATTTTTGCATGCACGGAATCACGGACTCGCGCACACGTTTCCTCGCAGTAGTTAAGGCGTTACCGCGCGAGTTTAACAGGTACGTAACACCTAGTATGTTTACTAGTGATGTTTCCGAACCTTACGAATCGCTTAAGCTATCGATTTTAAAACGAGGAGACCTAACTGATCGACAACGGTTAGATCAACTCCTTAACAATATCGACTTGCAACATGGTTCTGCGACGGACATGTTGCTTAGAATGAGAGAAGTCATCGGCCAACGAACTTTCGATGATGGCCTATTTAGACAACTTTTCTTGTCTAAACTCCCTCAACAGGTGCAGGCAGTGCTTGTTTCATTTCAAAACAATGCCATAGATGAACTAGCTGCATCTGCCGATCGAATCTTGGAAATCACTAGATCTTCTAAGGCCGAGGTTTTTTCCGTCAAAGAAAAACCCCAATCGACCTCGACTGACATGGCCGAACTATGTCACACGCTCACACGATATCTTAGAGTTCGCAATGACCGTAGTCGGTCAAAAACCCCGCGTAGAAGTGCCTCACGTAAGCGATCTGGCTCTCGACCACGAGAGACAGACAATCCCGACTGGTGCTGGTATCATAACCAGTACGGTAAGTTTTCCAGAAACTGCAGGAAACCTTGCAATTATCCGACTTCAAAATCGAGTGACACGAATAAGATTTCGGGAAACTTCCCAGCCGGCACGCGTTAACGGCAACCGTAGCCGGCGAACACAGCCGCCTCTTATATGTCACGGATGTGACTACGAAAGTTCGCTACCTCGTCGACACTGGCGCAGAAGTTAGCGTTCTTCCAGCAAATCTCGACGACAGACTTCGCGAGTCTGTTTTAAGTTTACAGGCGGCAAACGGAAAACCGATCGCTACTTACGGTAAAAGGTACGTCTACCTTAACGTGGGTTTACGTAAACCCATACACTGGATTTTCGTGGTTGCAGATGTCTCTATGCCAATCATTGGTATTGACCTGTTACAACACCACAATCTACTAATCGACACACGCGCACGAAGGTTAATAGACGGAAACACTAAGTTGTCCGTTTGCGTAACTCCTTGTTCTGGTTGCAGGTTATCCCCAGTCACGATTAAGCACGCCATAGACCCCTTGTACCAAGCAGTACTCGACAAATACCCTGGGATATACCAATCGCAATCGAAATTACCTTGTGTAACCAGCAATGTTACACATCACATCTCGACTACAGGACCACCTGTATTTTCGAAAGCCCGAAGACTCGCTCCCGAAAAGCTTAGGTTAGCTAAAAACGAATTCAACCACATGATGGACCTAGGAATAATTCGACCATCGAATAGTCCATGGGCATCCCCATTGCATATGGTCCCTAAAAAGGACAGCAATGATTGGCGGCCAACTGGTGATTATCGGCGTCTGAATGCTAAAACCATTCCCGATCGTTACCCGCTGCCTCATATTCACGATTTGACAGCTACCTTGAAAGGTACAACTGTCTTTTCGAAAATCGACTTGGTTAAAGCTTATAACCAAATCCCGATGGCAACTGACGACATTCCTAAAACCGCCATCATCACTCCCTTCGGTCTTTACGAATTTCTACGAATGCCTTTTGGTTTAAGAAACGCGGCTCAAACCTTCCAAAGGTTTATAGACGACGTCTTCCGAGGTCTCAACTTCGTACATGCGTATGTTGATGACTGTCTAATAGCAAGTCCGGACAGAGAATCGCATCTCAAGCATCTGGACATTGTTTTCGATCGACTTCAAAGGCATGGCATTACTGTCAACATTCAGAAATGCCAAATCGGAACTAACTGCTTAGACTTCTTAGGACACACCATTGATGCCCAAGGCATCCGACCCCTTAGGAGCAAAGTGGCGGCCATTCTGGATTACCCAGAACCGACCACGATCAAGCAGTTGCGAACTTTTAACGGACTCGTAAGTTTTTATAGACGGTTCATACCTAAATGCGCATCCCTAATGAAACCGTTGACCGATCAGCTTCGTGGAAATGCGAAATCAATTAGTTTAGACGACACAGCCCGTAAAGCATTTTCCACAGTTAAGGAACACATCGCTAAAGCAACCTTGCTTGCTCATCAGGACAGTCAAGCGCCCATTAGTATCGCCGTAGACGCATCCGACTCAGCAATCGGAGCAGTCTTACAACAATGGGTTAACAACTCGTGGCAACCTTTAGGATTTTTCTCGAGACGGTTGCTAGACGCTGAATCTAGGTACAGCACGTTCGGTAGGGAACTCCTAGCTATGTATTGTGCTGTACGGCATTTTCAACATTCCATCGAAGGAAGAGAATTCACGCTTTTTACCGATCACAAACCTCTTACCTTCTCTTTAAATTCATCTTCAGACAAGTACTCACCGCGAGAGTCTCGACAACTCGACTACATTTCGCAGTTTACTTCAGACATACAACATATTTCTGGAGCAAACAATGTAGTCGCAGACGCCTTGTCTCGAATTAGCTCCTTGAACAGTTTCCAAGGAATCGACCTTCTTAAACTCGCTCAGCTTCAAAAAGAAGACATTGATCTTCAGCATGAGTTATCCTCGACAACTCTTAAACTAAGTATTAGGCAGATGGGAACAGGTAAGGAAACCTTACTCTGTGACACATCTACAGGTAGGGATCGTCCGATTGTACCAAAACACTATCGCCGCAACGTCTTCAATACGTTGCACAATCTTTCTCATCCAGGTGCTCGTGCAACAATCGAACTTATAGCCGAACGCTTTTGTTGGCCTGGCATGAATAAAGACGTGAGGGAGTGGTCACGCTCCTGTGTAAGCTGTCAGAAATCTAAGGTAATCAGACACAACAAATGTCCCTTAGGTTCTTTCAAAACCCCTGACGCTCGATTCGACCACGTCCATCTAGATTTGGTAGGACCCTTACCCGACTCGAACGGATACTCATATCTCCTAACATGCGTAGACCGTTTTACTCGATGGCCAGAAGCAGTACCGATTAAGGACATTACTGCTGAAACAGTGGCTCGCACTTTCGTCGAACGATGGGTAGCAAATTTCGGCTGCCCTTCAACCATCACTACAGACCGCGGACGCCAGTTCGAATCTGGACTTTTCCGTTGTCTGACCACACTTTTAGGAATCACGCGCTTCCGAACGACCGCCTACCACCCACAAGCAAACGGGTTGGTAGAACGTTTTCATCGACAATTAAAAGCTTCATTATCAGCTTCAAACGTTTCACAGTGGACAGACGCTCTTCCACTCGTCTTGCTAGGTATCCGCAATGCAGTGAAAGCTGACATTGGATACACGGCATCTCAACTCGTTTACGGAACGACACTCCGACTCCCAGGAGAATTCGTGGATCCTTCAGCTTCTTCATTGAACATGGATCTAAACTCTTACACGAGTAGGCTTACAAACGCTATGCGTTCAGTTAAACCTGCTCACACTCGACCTCAATCAACTGATGTTTTCGTTCAACCCGAATTACGACATAGTACACACGTCTTCGTTCGTCGAGACTCACATCGACGACCCCTCGAATCAGCATACGAAGGACCCTTCAAAGTTCTTCAACGCGAACCTAAGTACTATGTAGTCGATAAGAACGGTACGAAAGATAGCATCAGTATCGATCGACTCAAAGCTGCGTACCTAGAAGGAAACCCTAGCTACGTCGATTTTCCTTCGGTACAAGCAAACGACACAGCTACTACACTCGTAGTACCCTACACGACAACCGACACACAACTTGATACTTCGTCAACGTTGATAGAAAAACCTAAAACAACGCGTTCTGGAAGACGAGTAAGATTTCCAGAACATCTTAACGAATATTGCACGTAGGACATAAGCTTTATCTTGAATTACCCTTTCATTGTTTATTATAAATTTTTTTAATATGCTCATTTTTTTTTATTTATAAAAAAAAACAAAACATTTTTATTATTTTTTTTTGAGCGTATATATATATATATTAATATATTAAAAAAAAAAACCTTTTTTCCGATCGCTTTTACGCTGTTTGTAAGTGTATCAGTTTATTTTTTTCCGCTCATCTTGTGTCCTTACGCAAGTACGAGTGTATTTTTGACATGCACTCACACGTTTTATTTTTCCTCTTTTCCAGGACGGCTGGAAAAGAACGACGAAGTTTCGTAAGGAACAGAAATTTTCATTGTACTATGTTTCTTTATTGCTACGTTGTACATTTTGGTCCCATAGTTTAAGGAAAGACGACCAGACGCTGCTAAACGAAGCAAGCTATCAGAAGAGTGTTTACCAACGACAAAATCGTTGGGTTTAAACTTCTGGCTGGTCACGTCTTAGGGGCATCACTACCTCACTAGGGGGGGAGTGATCTGTAGCTGTAAATAATTCCCCAAAATCAATAGCTCATTAAGTGTTCGACATTGGATGCTGACCACGTTGTTTAAGTGGACTTGTTTAGCTGAAGGCTTTCGGTCATGCATCCGCACCAGATCACGTTTCAATACTGCGTGGGACACAGCTCCTACGTTTCATTAGCCAGCTCATAGAAAAGGTCCTCGATATATTGGTAACGAATCAAATATATCTTTCCTGCCTCTTCTCGTTTGACTTCTGATTTTCTATCTGACTGGTAACAACCGAATTTAGAAGGTGCTACTGGTATCTAGTTGTAAAACTAGAATATCCGTTGCATCATCAGTGGTCACTCTTCTATTACGTCAGTCATTTGATCTTACGTGAACACGTAGTTCCGACTGTTGATTAGACAAGCTTACATCAATTGTGTAGAGGACTACAAATTAACCTAACTAGCCTCATCTTGTTTCCAGAGTGGCTTTTGAATCATTTACTTCTGAAATTTTACTTTTCGAATAAATGTTTTGGTAGGTTATTTTGCCCTAGCAACTAACAGCAATTTGAGCTTTTGTTTCGAGGTAGTTATACCATTCTAGTTAACTTCAATGGACTACGACTTTTAGTTAAGTATTATATTTCAACTTATTCATCATGTCCACCTATTCAAACATTTATGTCGCTCTACTGAAAAGCGCTTGGTAAGGCACACTCAAAACCTTACCCGCACCTAAGAATAAAACCCTACTCCGTCATCAGTAGGCATCATAATTTTGACCTATGTAATACTGGAGGATAGAACAGAAATGCCATCGTATCTATTTCTCCCAGCAAATCAACCCTCATGGACCACTGCTACATTCTATTATTAAACTAGGTCTGATTACATACCACTTAGAATTAAGTCGCCAACGATCATGTGTAAAAAAGAGGAAGAAAGTTCCGTGGGTCTAAGATACGTGGAATTAACCTGTAGAAGATAATGATAGCCCCATCTCTTGATTTTCTTGAAAGTAGGCTCTAAACACACTTTGGTTTCAACGGCGTTTTCACAGCCTTATATCAAGCTTCCTTGGGCATTTATCGTAACTTCATAGGTAATTGTCTTGTTCATTGGCCAGTTTGTCGAATATCGGTCTATTCGTACTTACATTGTTGTTAACCTTGTAACAGCCCACACTGATGATGGTAATATTTATAGTTCCCGGCTGTCAACAGCTTTTCTGTTAATGTCTGGTAATGGACTGCTACAACCTTGCTAGTCATTTGTAGTGCACTAATAGTCAATCTTCAAGTTTGTCCAATGTGCTGAACTCTATAACATACCTCACTCACAGTCCACTATCCAGTCCCTCGAGAGATTTATCTCGTCGTCAAAGAACGGACGAAAGGCTTCGCTACATCAAGCCAAGAGATAGTTAGACGCCTAAAACGCCTCAAAGAAAGTACAAATAAATCTTTTAGCTCGTTTCTTTGGGTTATAAAATTTTCGAGGGCTCCACTAAGCTTTACGCGATGACCTTCCCTTTTTTTTAGTGTTGAGTGGCAAAAAAAGTATGTTGGGACATCATCACCATTCATAAACTACTACTTCAAAGAAATACTTCGAAAAAATAGGCGACGGGAAATGTTAGGCAGTTGGTAGGATTTATAACCATAATCTTACTGTTGAGTGACCAGGAGCTAGAATCCTTGTAATTTTCTGTTAGCTTCTCTTGTGATATCAGCGTTAAGTAATCGCCCTCAAAGCGCACCAACGCAAAACGATTCGGTGAGTCCTAAACAAAAGGATAAATATGAAATATATGTACATATGAAATATACACCGCAAAAACGTGAATTCTACATTGCGAATTTAATTAATTTACACTGAAAGTTATGTCGCCGATGTCGGAGAGTCTCTAAAAAATAAAAAAGTCAAATTGGAAGTAGTTAAGGCTTACTAAGGGACAAAATTAGTGAATGACAAAAGAGAGAAAAACTCATCATTTTCAAAGAAGTTGCAGAAATTAACAACTAGTACAGAGCAATTTACTGACCAGAAATGTGTTTATTGGACTAAAATAACGGTATTTGTAGTAAACTGGAAACTGAGATGTATTCAGTGGTTGAACATAGCTCGAACTAAACACTCATAAGATTAAATTACCACTAAAGAAACTACTACTACTACTACTATAGAGGCAAGGTAAGGCATGTGGTGTACAGTAATAAAGTGGAACAAGTCTGAACTGATGGAAGAAAGGTGGAAGTGTTAGAGGAATAAATGCTTGTTAATTTCGATTAAAAAGTGATGGAACTTTTAAGTGTTTAGACTCCCAAATAACTATGAATCATGTTCTACTATGGTATTATTACACTTATCTTCGCAACCCTAACAATAGACCTAATCACAAAGTGATAGACTTGTCCTGCTCTGACTACCCCATTTATAAGATTTTACGCGAACATCACATTGCTGACTATTCTCTCCCTTTGTATCGCGACAATTAACAATGTGATGATTAGCACTTCTGAATAACACATTAGTACTCGGGATGGAATAATACATTTAGTCTGAATAGTAGCAGATTACACATAATAACCACGCCTGTGGGACCGAGCCATGCAATTTCTAATTACTCTTTCCGTGTTCTCCATTCTGACCTTCTCCAAGTGTTAAATATGGGATGTATATCTTCTCAGTAATTATATGTCCAGCTTCGTGAATTGTGTGGTAAAGAACCAATACCAATACAAAATTCACGATTCTGTTGAGAATGTAATATAATGTGATTAAACGCTATTTGTTCCCAAAATAGCGGAACCGAGTGAATAATGACAATACAGGTCTATTCAACAACGACAACATATTTTCAGTCACTCGTACAATTTTTTAACTACGATATTATAAAAGATTTTCCTTAATAACATCAACCAGTATGTGCGTCACTAATACTTCAATTCTGACTGACTCTGAGTTCCAATCATGTCATGTACGTTGTGATTCGTTACGCAGTCCTCTGACTCTGCCAACTAAGGACCTTGAAGTGTTCTGAAGTCCAGATTAAAATACAATACTACCGAATAAATAAGGAATGTCAAGGAGACGAGCAATGATCGGCAAGAAGTAATGTGTCTGAAGAGCTATAATTTTACCAATAAATTGTGCACTAAATCCAATATCAACCATAAAGTTGAAACCATCATCCATTATTTGATTACCAGTGATCACTAGATTTGAACTATTTCTAGCTAATGTGCGAAGACGATGTATCCTGATAGGAACGCGAATTCACAACGCCTAGACTAGGCTGTATTGTAGACTACTAACTTAGATGATATATGTCGAGTGTTTCGAGACCTACTCGAGTCAGACTGGAATGTTGTGACGAACCAGCTAACGTCGAAGCCACACCTTTTAGTCCACACCTGACAAATTACCGTTCCGTCGTATCCATTTACTATGGCTGCCTTGAAGACCATTCGATAAAAAGGACGTTCTTACGAAAATATATTAGTAAGGATGGGTACAATGAAGAGATTGAGATCACCACCGCGTGGGCCAGTGTAATGCTTGGAATTATTTATTATAAAAAACTAGGAATTTGTTACAACTTGTCGCCTTGTGTTCTATTAATATATAATGTAATAAAACCGCTAATCAGGGAACAGTGGCATATCGACCAGAGTCCTTACCAGTCCTTCTTGCTGCCTGGCCCTGCCTTTCCAGTCCACAACACCAATCTCAGCTTTCGAGATATGAGTCATATATTTCAAAAGTACTGGGTTTATATAAAGACCAAACAGACCACATCGTACCATAAAATAGAAAATAACATTTGTACAAGATCTAGCCAAATGTGGCTGTGATTGTGGGAAACTGTAATTAATAAACCAAGCATAACCTATGAACGGTAAATCGCAGGTAACCCTCGTTCTAGTGATAGAAGAAACCAGAATATCAGTGAATAGGTCTCTTTTTTAACTCGTGGGACGGTCACAGTGGAGCGAGTGGTTACCCGTTCAAACACACAAAGCTTTTCAACATTCAACATAAGATAACCTATACCTATACAAAACAAGGAAGTATATGAATACTAACATTCTATTGCCTTGACATATACGTGGTTGGTTGAGGTCAACTCATGACAAATCAACGTAAATTGTTACATAATAACAGCCTATGGGTCAAAATAAAGCTTATAATAAGGAGAATGTGAATATACGTAGTCAAGTTACTTAACAACTCCACAACAAAAATATATTCATAGCATCAGTCCGTACATACATCCCAATAGTTACCATTGACTATTCTCGTCAGGATATATCAGTGTTCCCTAAATGGTGCAATTTATGGCAAGTAGAACCAGATGAACACGAACTTGTACTTGGGATTTAAAATCAGGCAAAATCACTAGTTCATACGAACAACAGAGTCATTTCATGTCGTGAAATCGACTGATGCGCCTTGGTTGTCATTAAACTTAACGAAGATCGGTGAACTGTATGCCATTCAGCGACTCGAATGTCGAATGATTTGGCCAGGGTCCAGTGACATTCCACTAACATCACAATATACTTTAACTATAAAGATGACACAATTATTCGGAGTTTGACCACACCTTAACCAATAACGCCTTTTTTAATCGAAGCGATCCTACATAGGGAAACCAAAAGTGAAAAGCGAAGAGGCTCGAAGGTATGTTTGATAGAATATTGATAAATTGAGAAGTAACAAATCTAAGGAGGCTAGCGATTGTGAGAGGACTCAAGCAAGACGTACGCACTAGTGATCTGGTATGGACGCATGACAGAGCACCTTAAGCTATATAACGCCCCTAAAACTATTGCGGTCAGCATCAAGTGTCAAACACTTACAGATCTATTGATTTTGGGGATATACCTACCGCTACAACTATCAGTGTGTCACGTGTAAATGTGTGGTCTTGCTCCGAATACTTGTGGCATCTTCGCGTGTTGTATCTTAACTAACTAGTGTACTGATATACATATAGATGTACTTTTCCGCGTGAAGGTATGGCTTCATATTGCATTCAGATATTTAGTGCTTTGTCTAAGCCATCGATAGATGTTACGTGCTAGAATCACTGACTTTATTCTTGCGTCCCCTTCCTCGATTGATCAAACTTCCTGAGCTACACGATCAGACCCAAGCCAAGGCTAACGTACTTTTAACTCTTAATAAACCATTCAAGGCACCCAGCAGATCAATCACCAACAACCGTTACGTACATGTTTAAAGAGACCACAGAGCATTGCGAAATGATACAATAATTTGAAAGCGATCATCCCATGAGCAACCAAGGACAGAGCTCACTGCAAATAACTAATTGATAACAATGAGCAAATAATCAGTTGAACAATTCGACTGCTACTGTGGAACAACTTATATTGATCAAAGTTCTAGAAGTTTATATTTTTGTGCTCCCGAACATTTTCCAGAGAGTCTAAACAAAGGTCCGTTGAAGAAAGTGTAGAGACCGATTTTAAACCATTTAGTACAAACCGGCCATAGTACTAAAATAAACCAATCCTTTTCAATTATTTATCGGGTCAGTAATATTTTGCCAAAGCCTATCAGGCTCAAAGCCCTTCAAACGGCTGAAGCAGTAGCTATCCGGATTAAGGAACGGGAGAAATATGTACACAAGAAGTATCTTCAACCACTCCTCCTACACTGGCCAACCTCAGGGCCAATTACTCAATGGTAATCTTAGCTACTGAATGACTTAATTTGACTATTCTACTTACGACCTTTCGTAGTCAAATGTAACTATCTGTTATCCTTATTCACACATTTTTGTATTGTTATTATTGTTAGTATTGATTGAACATGATTAATAATCTCCTTCATACATGATTCATTCATTTCACATTCATCCCTTCTTAATAAGTCCCATCAATTCTTCACACAATTTTGTCTTCCATTAAACATTTGACCTAATTGTAATTGCACTGTTATCTCTCTCACCCTATCCAACATCATGGAATGAGTCAATAGTCGACCTTATCTTTAAAAAGGGTTCACGTTATTCCTGTAAAAATTATCGGGGGATAAGTCTACTTCCGATTGCGTCCAAACTATTGGCTTCTGTCATTCTTCGTAGGTTGTTTAAAACTCGAGAACGATTGACTAGCAAGGAGCAGGCTGGTTTTCGTTCTGGTCGGGAATGCATTGATCACATCTTCACCCTCCGCCAAATGATAGAACACCGTCATACTAATTACAGGTCAACAACCGTAGTGTTTCTTGACATCAGGACCGCCTTTGACTCGTTGGACAGGACCTTCCCCTGGGATTGTCTATTGAAGAAGGGTGTGCCTGAGAATTTTAACACCTCAAAGTCCCTGTATACAAACACCTCAGGAAGAGTGAGTGCACACAACCACCTTCCTCCCTTGTTTCATTCGAGAAGTGGGGTTAGGCAGGGTTGCCCAATCTCACCATTCCTCTTCAACTTTGCCATCGACGACATCCTGGAAACAGCTCTGATGGATGTAAGTAATGGCGGTGTGGATCTGCTGCCTGAAGAACAACTTCTCGACCTCGAGTACAAGGATGATATTTTCTTACTGTGCGATAATGCCCAAGGCATGCAATCCGCACTTAATCAGTTGACAATCAGTGTCCGCAGGTACGGCATGTGCTTTGCACCCTCCAAGTGCAAAGTACTCCTACAAGACTGGCAGGATTCTCATCCTGTACTCACCCTGGATGGTGAGGAGATCGAAGTAGTTGAGAAGTTCGTGTATCTAGGTAGCTATATAAGTGCTGGTGGTGATGAGTGATGAGATTGATGAGATCGATGCACGTATAATGAAAGCCAGAGCGGCTTATGCCAATCTGGGCCATCTTTGGCGCCTTCGTGATGTTAGTCTGGCTTCAGGTTTGCCCTATGCTTGTGAAACCTGGCCTCTCCGAGTTGAGGGTGTTAGAAGTCTCTCTGTGTTCGATCATCGTTGTCTCCGAAGGATTGCTGACATCCAGTGGCAACACCATGTTAGTAACGCAGAGCTTCGGCATCGTGTGTTCGGGCGCAGAGACGATAATTCAATTAGTGTCACCATCTTGAAACACCGACTTCGGTGGCTTGGACATGTTCTACGAATGTCGTTTCAGAGAATTCCACGTCGTGCATTAATTGCCGACTCTAGGACTGGTTGGAAAAAGCGGAGAGGTGGTCAGTGTATGTCATGGTGTCGTGGCATGAAAGAAAGCTGCAAAGGGCTGGTTTCTGTTGGTCCTTCACGACTCCCTGGCTGGGGTCCGAGAGGTGGTGCAACACAGTGGCTAGAGACGTTATCAGATATGGCTCAGAATAGAAACCAGTGGCGAGCCTGCTGTAACTTTCTTTTACTTCCTTCATAAAGAGTGGTCATCATTTCTTTAATTGAATGAGTCTTCTGGTTGTACATTTCAGATTCCCCTATCATTACTCTTTTTTTCATTTTTTTTCATATTATATATAGATGCATCTTCCCCCTTTTCTCCTCCCATTCTCATTGATTTGTGTGGCGCATATTTGTCTGGTGCAATTTTGTACCAATACGTATGTGTTTAAATAAATAAACAAACAACCCTATCCGACCCGTATTTATTCTGATCATGGATCCTAAATTTTCACTCAATATATAATCTGATTCAAGTTAATCTTCTATATGGGTCATATCAACATTGACAATTTTATTTTAGATCAGAGGGCTTTTGTGGAGAATTTAGTATTTTCACAGATGAAATCATGAGTCAATTGAAGCTAGACCACCATCGAAAACCTTGAAGCACTGGACGGCCTTTTCGTCCTACTATGGGACTCCTCAGCAGTGCGCATCCACGATCTTTTATTTTGTTTGACAATCCTAAATTTACATGCTTCAACTTTAAACGATGCATTTCTCCCCAAACCTTTCTATCCTTGGGATTATTAGTTTAGAAATATAATTGTAGAACCTGAAGAGAATTTATCGAAAAGAATATTCTTCGTTCAAATATTAGTCTTTTAATATGATGAGGATCTTTAAATAAATAATTAATCGTGTGAAGTAATTATTATGTTTATTGAAGGCACATAGTAGGCAGAAAGACGCGCGCAACGATACAGACTTATAATTATGAAGCAAGAATATGGATTATAATCCGTCAATTAGCCTCAAGAGTTGGACTTCTGTCACTTTGCTCTACAACGACAATGTGTCATTTGATCACTGTTTTCATGATAAACACACCTTTGAATAATAATAGAGGATAGCATTCGGGAGAACACACACACTATATGGCGCCAGGAACAAAAATATATCAGAAGACAGTTTGCTAATGATGATTTAGTCACGTTTGGACGTTTGACCGGTTACATCTTGTGGTCATCCCACTGTCATTGCGATGAAGTGTGCCTTAGACGTGATCAGAATTACGAAATAGCTAGCTTTACAAAACCTTGACAACATTGCTTACGTTGTCAGTTTTAGTGTACAACACTAGCATAAGGCGAATGGTTGAAGATTTTTGAAATGCTACTATTCTAGACCCTAGAGATATCCATTTAACGGGATTTACTCCTACCTCTGTATACTCTCATGAGTGCTTTCTTCATGACCACTAATTCCATCTTTATTTGTCTCCATTGTAATATATTTTTCGATTACGTTAAGTCTAGAGTATTTTCCTCTTATTCTACCATAGTTTTTCTCTATTTCTTCTGGAATTTCTGTAGTTTTATTGTTTCAGATCCCTTAAAAGTCGGTCAAATGTCCTACATAATCCTGTCCAGTAGCTATTACCTACAACCTAAACTCAGATCGCATTGAACTAACACTTTCCCAATTCGGTTGCAATTTAGTTTGGAGTAAAGTATCTCACTACTTATATAACACTAGCGAAACATATCTTTACACAGACGACATGTCGCACTAAGAATTTGGTTCATTCAATACGGGAGAGAAGTATTACTTTTGACGACGTTTTAACTCTATGCTTGTTATTTCACATCCATAACTTGCTACACTAGGCTTGCCGGAGAACAGCACATGTTACGTTTGTGAAGATATTTCACAGAATAAGTATTTCTGGAAGTTTCCAACGTTGGTTTGTACATGAAATTGTTTTACGAAACATAATTCACTAAGCCGTTGTTTGCATCCTTGGGTTAGGTATATATTCTTGTCATATGGATTTAGCACAGCTTCAAATCCACTAAGCTGAACGCATAAGGGTTGAACGTGGTGATACTTGACAACATGAAGCAATATAAAGAGTAAGAACAATTGACATAATTTGTTTAAACGCATCACAAATGTAGTCAAGGTTTGAGGAGGTTGCTTTTCACCTGATACACTAGGTCATGTGTTTGCGCTACCTTTTCTAATTGATATTTATATTCAATATTTCGAAAAATGAAGGCCTACTTGTGTTTTATGAATTGTATGAAAAACGATTATATATTTTGTCAGCTTTTTAAATCCAATTACTTGTGAATTTCACCAGTAACAAACAAGTTAAAAACAGATAATAACTGAGTTATTGATTTCGTCATTGTGAGATGCCCTTGACCAGTTCTTTTCCTCATCGTCTCGTCTTTTTGTTGAACGTTCAACTAGATGAAATAGTTTTCCATCAATTTTTAAAATAATACGAATGTCCTTTAACAAGAATATCTCAAAATTTTACAAGCCCGTTGGCTATAAAATTGCTCCTGAAATGGCTTTGAGAGACTATGAAGACCCTTTAAACTCAAACAGTCGAGGTTTTTCAAGTGATCTTAGATCGCCCTTCAACAAGTTAGGCGCTACTAGTGGATTAGATAATACGGATACATTTGGGACAAGAAATCAAATTGTTGCTAATGAAGTTCAATTTGGGCTGTCCGATGAAAGTAGCAGCACTTCTCTTTCATCTTCCTCTTCTGACCTAATGAGCTCCAGTGTAACTGAAGGTAAGTGCTGTGAAGAACACCTATCCCTAACACGAGAAATGGCTATAAGGCTTTTGAAAGAGTACGTCAAAAACCTGAAGGACTTTTCCTCTATGATGAGAGAAAAACAATCGACAACTTTAAGAGATACTTCCACTTCGCCGATACATTCACCTGTTTTAGACAGTCATGATAAACAGAAATGTGCAATAAAACGAGATACTCAGAATTCTGATAATACGGTCAGCCGCCAAAGACCTTCTTCTATGTTGGGAGTAAGCGATATGCATCAAACGCCACATGATCTCGCTCAAAGCGATCGAGCTAAACCTCCGACGAGCTTTTTTAGCTCTTTAGATCATGTTGTCGACATACCAGTTTCTTTCATGAAGAAGCAAAATTTCACAGCACGTAGTGTTTGTAAGGTCATAAAACAGCCAGACAAACCAAGTAATTATTTGGAAGAGTCTCACTCCACCAAGATCGACAAACAAAATTGGTTTAACAAGAATGGCTTAGACTCAGATGATTCCGGTCAACAAACGCCAGTTAATTTTGAGCCCGGTCTACAGACTGCTGTGTTAAAATCGGAAAAACAGTAAGTTATACCATTTTCTGTTTGTTCAGTGCTCATTTTAAAGACGTTTTGATCCTTATCTAGTAATATGTGAGCTAAATTTCGCTTATTACTATCAGCCGATTCATTTTTGGCTTATGTACACATCAAGAAAATCTATAATTATGTAGCAATGAAATGATAAGATTTAAAACCTTTTTTATTTCCTTACGCCTGTTACTCTTAATCCAGCATAGGTCGCTGACCAGCACTCTCCAACCCACTCTGTCCTGGGCCTTCCTTTCTAGCTCTATCTAGCTTTTGTTCATTCTTTTCATATGCGTTTCCATTTCTTGGCGTAATGTGTTGTTTGGTCTTCCTCTTTTCTATCGACCTTCAGGGCTTGCTTTGTGACGCGATTGGGTGCTTCCCTCACCGTTTGTCCTATCCACTTCCAGCACTTCTTCCTGATTTCTTCCTCCACTGAAATCTGGTTTATTCCCTCCCACACTAGGTTGTTGCTGATAATGTCTGGCCAACGGATCCGAAGTATTTTGCATAGACAACTGTTAATAAACACCTGTATCTTCTGGATGGTGGTTCTTGCTTTTCCAATCCGCGCCCCCACACCTGCATCAGATCTACCGTGTTCATCGATGATGCTGCCCAGATATGTAAACGTTTTCACATTCTCCAAAGCTTCTCCACCAAGTGTAGTTTGATTGGTGCATGCTGTATTGCTTCTGAGTCTCTTGCTTTTCCCTTTGTGTATATTGAGACCTACTGCTGGTGAGGCTGCTGCTACCCTGGTCGTCTTCTCCTGCATTTGTTGTTGTGTGTGGTAGAAGAGCCAGATTACCTGCAAAGTCTTGGTCGTTCAGCTGCATCCTAGCTGTCTACTGTATCCAGTGCTTCCCTCCAGATGTTGACGTCCTCATGATCCAGTTGATCACCAGGAGAAAGAGAAAGGGTGAGAGTAAGCAACCTTACCTCGAGCGAGTCAGTGAGTTATCCTCCATGAACGATTTTGCAGTTTAACCCATCATAGGATCTCCGTATGATAATGACTATCTTCTCAGGCACGCCGTAGTGTTGAAGAAGCCTCCATAGTGTTGTCCTATCCACACTATCAAATGCTTTCTCACAGTCAATGAAATTGGCGTAAAGTGATGAATTCCATTCAATTGATTGTTCCACAATGATCTGTAGAGTTGGTCTGTATACGATCGATCCTCACGGAATCCAGCCTGTTGATCTCGAAGTTAGGCGTCTACGGAGTCCTTCATTCTATTGAATAATATCCTGCTGAAGACTTTTCCTGGTATTGAGAGAAGAGTGATGCCGCTGTAGTTATCACACTTGGTGAGATCGCCTTTCTTTGGTATTTTGATCAGAAATCCTTCTTTGCAGTCTGTTGGTACTTGTTCTTCGTCCCAAATCTTACTGAAGAGGATGTGTAGTATCTTGGCAGTTGCTGTTACATTTGCTTTCAGTGCCTCTGCCGGGATGTTGCCTGGTCCTGCTGCTTTGCCGCAATTTGGAAAACTTTCCAGGTTTGTCACATTGTCCAGACATTCCATGTACCTATAAAATTATTGGTCTGGTTGTTAGAAGGTGAATCGGCCTAATGACTTGCGAAGGAACTCCGCTTTCATCCTGAGGCGTCATAATTCTTCCTTCAGCTCCCAGGACAGAGTATAAATGGTTTGAATTATTCTCCCCGGTTAGCCCTCAGAGGGGCTACAGGCGGAGTTTAGGCTTTACTAAAATCTTATAGAACTCGTTTCAGCTATCTGCCGGTATACAAGAACATTTTAGGTTATATGAATGAAGCAATAATGTTACATGGCGTCTTAAAGAGTATGTAAGTTCTTACTTCAGTCTGAAACCTTTCAATGACTGTTGCCTGCTACTGGATAAAGTTGATACCTGGGACACAATACATTAAATTTCTGTTCAACGCGCCTTTGCTAAATACTATTTTAAAGTATGAACTACAAATGACCCGCTGTTATTGATTATGTAGTATTTGTGAATAACTAAAAACTTAAAGCACTTTATTTCATGCTGGTCACGATTTCTATGGTGAACAAACTAACTTTAAATTTCTTTAAAAAATGAATGAACACGCACAAATGGATTGATAAGCAGTTTTTATCATTAAAATGTTACCAAAGAACCCCAAGGTTTCTCTCCTAAAAGTCCATGCTGGAACGTTTTAGTGTCTTTTGTTTTGTAACAGTACGCAGTTATGATCTTATGAAATAGTTGTAAATACCCTCTTAATCCTCATTTAAAAATAGTGAGCGATTTTAAACTGTGTTTCTTCGCAAGTATGATGAGGAAGTAAGACAAGCCAAACTTTTAAATGTACCGTGGACCTCTGATCAGGGAAAGATGGGCTAAAACAATTCAATCTGTTGACCTTCCAAAAATAAACTATCAGCCAAGTAATTTCTCACAGGCGTTTCTCTTTTTAAAGCAGTCTAGACCCAAATGATTACTAATATTGTGTATATTTACACAATTTAACTCGGTCATCTGTTTGTTTTGACCTCAAAAGGATAAGTTAGTGATCTCGTTTAAGTAGCTGACCCTGTTTCAGTTAGGTGAGAATTACCTTGAACAAAAGTAAAAAAATCCCAGTTGACGAAATAGTAACCTAGATGGGAATCCGGTTAAGTAGTCGACAACTTTACTGGTAATTAAACATTTTCATATGGTCATCATAAGTCATTCATAAGTCATCAATTAAATGTTTATTTTTTTAGTCCACTTTTGAAACGCTTTCACTGGTGTAGAGAAAAAATCATTTTTAGGACAGCATAAGACTAATCCTGAGCTAAATAATTTCATATGTCATATCCTTTGTTAACGTGGTCCAACAGTTTATAAGTATATACAGGAAACAAACTTCCGAACTGAGTTGGTAAGCACTCAATTTTCTAATATATTATCCTCTGGTTTCACCGGTTTTAGAATAGAAATACAAACCGGTATAATGACAAATAAGTCACTGTTTATGATACAAAGCACTGAAATTACACGAACCGTAGTCTCAGGCAAAACATTGATTGAAGATAAAAAAGACTCAAACTTTCACAGAAAGAACTGAAGATTTAATTTGTGACTCAGTTTTTCACAACTTTGATCACTTTTGTTTAACCCCTTCATGCATTAAACTAGTTCATGCTGACTGAATTATATGTCCCAAATAAAGTTTGATACACGTCATGCACAAATTTATTTAGTACCTGATCTTTAGGAGAATCGCTAAAATCTTAGCAAACTGGATCGAGATCCATTGTTGCACTTTTTTCATGGTGTAAAAACATCCCTTTAAAAATAAATGTCTGATACTTGGACACTCTTACCTTGAACATGAGTATTTTGGAATTTTTTACAAAATTGACGTCAGTAAGAATACTATGAGAATTGAAATCCCGACCATCTAGCCGTTCATGTTCCATTCGACATTTACATCGATCAATAACTGAATGATGGTTGATATTCTTTATCCTTTACCTTTTCATCCTGTAAAGTGTAACTCCTGATGAAGATCTAGGGTCGTTTTCTCTACAGACTTAGGAAACTAAGAATACATCAAACATCAAATGATTTTTAAGTATCCGGGACGTGAAAACCTTGACAAGACCCTTGAGAGCGCGTTTACACGAAATTTTCTGTTCACTTATTTATCTAAGGGTTGCATAAAATTGAAACTATGTGATAACACTTGACAGGTTTTTTGAGTCTTTCTTTGCAGAATGATTTGCATAACCACTTACTCAGACAATAGGCCTTGTTTTAGACATAATGACACTTATAAACAGTGTTAATGGTCACTGAAAATAAATGTTATTAGCGGCTACAACGTAAAATTCATTAAGAAATAAACTACAATAACGTGTATGAATATGTTACCACGATTCATGTGGCGATGGGACATTGATTTCGTGAAAACTGACCATGTAGTATTTAATGTTAATAAGTAGGACAAGTATTAACTTGCCTACGCAGGTAGACATTCCATTTTGGACATCGATATTTGTTACATGTAAGTAAGTTCTTTCATCCTTATCACCAGGTACACAAGCGAGTTATGAACAAGATACTGTCTTCTGAATTGTATCTGATTTTGCTAATTAAGGTTAGGAAAACCAAACATATAAATATTTTCAAATTATTAATCAAAGAGCACGACTTCAGCCACCTTAACATATTTTCAAAAAGTATAAAGATCATTCTGCTATCTTGTAGATTGATATAACTTCCATTATATTAATAGGTATTTTTGTTACACGATTCGGTTTTATCGATAAAGCTTTGTTGTACCTAAATGGGAAACTTTTATTAAATTATACATACGTCAAATATGAGTACATTGATACTTGAGACAATTTAGAGGTATGGCCAATCAAGAGGGAATAAAAAGTACCCAGAAGTAATTATATTCACAAAAATGAGTGTGAATGAGGTGAAGATAGGGAACTGTCTCAGTTTAGTTTACATATTGATTTCAAACTGTATTCTCGATGTTGTGGAAAGAGTTTTGTATTTAGAAGCTTGTTAACTGTAAAGTCCCCAACTCTTTACGTTATTCACTTGAATGTCATATATTATGCAGAATTCTGGGTTCACCTAAAGTAATTGGTCGTAAATGAGAGTCAAAACATGCGAAGATAATGGGTGTTGAGTTGTTCAAACATGGAAATTGTTATTAAGCCTAGTACGAATTCGGAAAGTAGTATTATGAGTATATTTGTTAGCAGAACAACTCAATTTAATTTTCAAGGGAAACCAAACATATCATTGGTTTTCTTTCTGATATAAGAGATTCTTTTATAAAGTTATCGGTTAACACAGAAGATCTTCAGAGAACAAAAAAATTAAATACTATGCTTAACCATAGGGTATAACTGAAGTTTATTTTGAACGCCTGAGGTTCCAAACAGTTCTGATCTAATTCTGTCCTGTTGTTTTGTAACCAACCATATATGGTTATGATATGATGTTTCTTATGGTAGATGTCTCTTAAAGCTGGGAACAAAAAATACGGATCTTTTTAGATTTTTCTAGTTGTTTGCTGTTCGATGATAACTTGAAGACTTCAATGATTGTGTTCACATTATTTGTAGTTATCAGCTTGAGAAAGACCCCGGTAACTCAGTGCCTATACTTTCATCTACCAGTACATTCGATAACAATCAATCTTCAAAAGATTGTAAAACGGAGACACAAAATCACTTGGATAAAATTGTCATGGTGCCACCACAACCTGATATTCTGAGATTCGAAAGTGAGTGTAATGATTATTGATATTGTTGTTATTATATTTGATTCCTATAGTTGAACATAAGATTTTTGAGGTGAAGGATTTCAAACCTCTATTATCTATCCTCAAAAAATTTTTAAAGCTGGTAGATCATAAGCAAAGTTTCGAATAGAGTAGAGTGCTCTATGTGTTCTAGATAAGTTTGTGATTTGCTAACATGTTTTTTTTCACCAGAAATCGTGTGTTTGTTTAACTGCTTACATGGCCTACAAACAAACATCAAACAGTTTATTCTCTAAACCGTTAATATTTGACTACTATTTAGACCAAAAAGTTTATGTCACGTACACTTTAGATAATTTGCAGTTAATAAGTATTTCAGAACAAATGAAGCACATCATTTACTGAAGAGGTCAACTGAGAGTAAAAATATCAGTTAACTTAGGCATGCAACATTAGTCATTACTAACATAACCATCAGATACACGTAAATAAATTCGTGGTAACTATTCAAAGAGGTAAAAATGCTTTCACAATTCTATTTTTTGAATGTTTATGAAGATAATGGAGTTCAGATTAAAAATTAATGACGTGTCATAAAACCAGCTAGCCTACAGAAGTTGGCTGGAAAAAACTTGACAGTTTTAGATCGCAGATTCATTTTTAAAAGTAGATAGAAAAGAATTAAATATTCGTAACTTATAAAATGTAGTCCTGAAACACTAACTGTAATTCACTATGATCGCATCCTTATTTCATTCTTCTAAATGCTTTCATGGTTACGGTAATAATTCAGATTAACTAATGAAGCTTTTCAAGGTTACTTCATCCCAAGAAGGATTTGTTTTCCTGAATTTAATGATTAGCTTTATTTTACAGATTATTCTTTAGCCATTATGTTCATTTATTTATTGCACCAAAGATTATGTCGAAATACTAACATGTATTCCAGTGAATATCAAGACTCATAAATTACTTTTGTAAACATTCATGTATGATAGAAGATTCATTCATTTAATATGATAAGCTTTATATCTGGTGCGTAGAAAAATAAATAAATATTTAACGCTACGTGTCTCTTAGCTCTATCTTCATTCTCAATGCTTGATAACAATCGATTAAATACAAACACTCGCAGAGCTGAACAAACATGTCAATAGGATTCTTACGACATGTTAATTAAATGGTTTCAGATATTTAAATATTGTGTATCTGGAATTCAAGATTCGCCTATTCATACGTACTAGGTAAAAAATATCTTTTGTCTTTGACACAGGTAACAGATAACCTGATAATCGTAAGTGATCATAATGTCTAGAAATTAAATTCATTTCTGTTGTACTGTCACAGTGTAAAGGTTAATAACAGATTTTACTTACCCTTTATGTATGAAAGTCTTTTGTTTGGTTTTTTATTATATTATACAGGACCTCATAAACCCAATGTTATAATTGCGGATGAAAGACTAAATGGAGAGGGTGTTGTTACAGAAAAGCAGTCTGAGGTAAGTGCTAGTCTTAGATCAGTAATGAAAACACAATTTTCGAAAAGTATTTTTAATATAGTAAATTCACTTGTATGATTTGAATGTCATTATTAAGCACTTCTCGAAATGTCTAAATATATGCTCTGTCCATTTTTATGATAATTAGATCAAATAACATAGTACTATAGCTAACCTCATCAGAAGTGAGAATGAAACAACTGCATCACCCACTTTTAGATAACATATACGTTGCTTTTTTATCATATAGTTTGTGATCATTTTATTTTACTCTTGATGTATATATAATACTGATCACATGGAATTTTCTAGTTATTGGATTTTCATATACGAGATATAATTGGGATCTGTAAGGAATGAAACTTGACTTGTTATGTGCAAACTTATGTTTAGCAAAGCAATAAATGTGTTTGGTTCTTTTCAAAATAGTCGATCTGATTTCTGGGTCCGATCGATAAAATCAATTTTAAGGGAATGTTACTCGAGATGAGTCTCATTCAAGTGACAACATAGCCATAGTCCAACTTAAAACGTTACTGAAACTTTGCACTACGTGAAAAAGTTGGAAATTTCATTTGTTTCTCTAAAAGATACATTTCCTTTTATTTTAATTGTCTATAGGCAGCTCTTAGTTCACCGAACCAGTTGTTTCACATGCAAATATCCTCTGACTTCTCAAGAACAGAAAGACTAAGAATAAAATCACCCAGTCCATCCTACTCCAGTTTAGTTAGATCGTCTGCAAATTCATTTCAACCAATTCCTCCGAGACCAGAATATCATTCTAGTCCTACATCACAAACAAAAACATATCATTCAGGCGCACTAAGGTCAAGTTCTGTACAGAGAGTGATACCACATTCTTCTAAAGAAACTCTGTGGATCAGAAATTCATACAATACACCATCCCAAAATCCATACAGGAGTTTGGTTAAAAGCTCCTCAAGTATACCTTTAAGTGGAACTCCAAGTAACTTAGACTCTGTCATACCTAAGATTACTTCACCGTTCTCTCAACCCATATCCAGTTCTAACTGTAATGATTATTTGGAATCTGATGCCAACCAATTATCTAAAAATGTATTGAGCAAAACTGACTTCAGTAGCGCCAAGTTCAATAACAATGTGAGTTTACTTTTCCTGTTGTGTCGGATGTCAAAAGTTTTAAATACGGAAGGTCACCACTGTCAACATTGTTGTAAATCGAAATAAATACTTCACGTTTACTGAGGATAATTTTATATGTTAACATTTTTAGTTTATGTGATTACTCTAGCGTAAAGCATGCTTGTTTCTCAAACAATAATTAGATAATGTTATGATGTCGATACCTAATTGTCATACCATTTAGATGTAGGTCTTTTCTAGCAAGCCATTTATTATTTTACGGACTAAATAACTCTTCGTTTATTTCTACACGGAACTAATCACTACGTTTTAGCTGAATGGTTTCTTTAATCGTTTAATAAAAGATAGTGAGCTATTTTTCCCGGGAATTATTAGAAATGTTGGAATAACTATTAAAAATGCTAAAAATATTTCAGTTTAAGTATATCACATTGTCTTTTGCATGAATGATAAAAAGAACCCGGTAATATGAGATAATGAATGAATTTTACTAATATACAAAGTCAAACAAGTGTTACTCAGAGGAAGCCTCTTATAAAGAAATAATCGCTGTACAAGCCATTCATTAGCAAATGATGTTTTACTTAAGACATTAAAATTAAATCACATCATAGTTCGATAAGAAATTTTGTACACTTCAGCTGGTGTTTGTTTTACTTATATACATATGTCTTAAGTGGATTTTATGTAGGAAAAGTCAGGAATTTACAGATCCTAGTCATATGAAAAATACAATATTGAGTATCTGTATATGATTAAATAAAATCCGCATTGGCGTGAATATTTGTGGTGGTTTATAGTTGAATTATATCTGTAACATATGAGCTTCATTAGTGAATATGAGGTATCTATGGTTTAAACTATTTATTTGTGTATTATGAAAGTTTACAAACTTACAAATGCTTGTCTTAATGAAGAAATATGGATAAATTCTTTTATTTGGTACGTAAATGACATGGTTAATATTTTGCATTTTTGTACTGCTAACAGCTGTTCCATCATTTTTGAAAATGAGGTATTGTTCCCATTATAAGACAATGGGTTCGCAAATTTCTCATCTTGGTCACTTTTTTTTACAAATCTAAAGTCGGATCAATTGTTCAAAATTTTTACATAGCCAACCTACAAGATAAGTCTGTAATATATTAAACTGCAATCAAACAATGTGTAAATGCACTGTTTTGTTATATTATACACTATTTCTTGTTGTAACCTAACGAACCAAATTTATGAAAAGACCAATAATTGAAGATGTCATGTGATTATTGAGAGTGTGTAACATGGATAGGGACACATCGGTTGTACAACTTTTTTACCTATCGACCTGACATCAAACGTCAGGTAGTTAAATAGTAAGGAAGTATAGTCAATTAATCTATTGAAAGTGTAATTAATAGACCAAATAAATCAATTTTTTCGTTACAGATTGAAGAACTAAGAAGTGACAACCTGGATCTAAAATGTATGTAAATCATTGATCTATTGTATTGTGAAGCTCGCTTATATGATTCCAATAAACTTTCGATTATCATAGTGAAAGTTGTATGAGCTCTATCTTATAAAAAGGATTACATAATAAAGTGCCCAAGAACTTCAAAGGTCAAAAACGGGTTATTTAACGATGGTAGAGTTAAAGAAAAACAATAAGACGGAGAAAAGCGCCCTCGTTAAATTGTCTTTAACCCTTCTTTGATGGTATAATCGGTTCTTTTCGTTATAAATAATTTTAATTTTACCGTCTGTTTGTAGAGATATTTTGATAAGAAAAGTCAGTTTAATACAGCCCGTTTTTTGTCCTACTTTTGATTCTCAGAATTTCTAAGAAACACTAATTCTTCTATGAAAATATGAAACTTATGATTTTTCATTAATGTACGACACATTTCGTGTTATATATCTGATAAATCAGACCGACTTACATCTAGACTATTTTCGTGTGGCATTTCAGTATTCGAAGTAATTAGATTTTTACCATATTTTATCACTTAGCGACAACAAAATCCTATTTTTGGTCTAAACAAAACTCATCATTCAAGTATCCATACATACTTATAGGTTTGACTTACTATGATTATTTCACATCATCCTTTACTAAAACCAATAAATCATGTCAGATAATCAGCTGATAAATGTCCACTTGTAAAATTATGTGAAGTAGCTTTTTCGCTAATATCTAACAGAAAAGGGGAATAGACATTGAAGTTGAATGATCGTTTTTGGTCAATTAACAACCATAACTTTCTAGACACCTATTGATTTTTTCCACTGAATTGTTTTCATTTTTTGGTAAGTTTTTCAAAGAAATACAAAAATAAGAAAAACACAAATACACCTATGGAAAGTGGCTAGCAGTGGAATCCAGGACGCGCGTTTCGTCCTATTTGGGACTCGTCAGCTGGATGTACCTGCATCTCAGAGTTGATGTTCACTCTGGGACTCGAACCCAGCACCCTCGCTTCAAACGCCATCGCGTTATCCACTCGGCCACTGAGTCCTGATAGCCACTTGCTTGTGCGATGGGGTGAAGTTTGAATTCACTTAGTATTGTTTGTTTGGATCTTCCCATCGATGTGTTTAGGACTGCAACTGGCTATCAGGACTCAGTGGCCGAGTGGATAACGCGATGGCGTTTGAAGCGAGGGTGCTGGGTTCGAGTCCCAGAGTGAACATCAACTCTGAGATGCAGGTACATCCAGCTGACGAGTCCCAAATAGGACGAAACGCGCGTCCTGGATTCCACTGCTAGCCACTATCCATCTCTGCTTACCATGCTTGTGAATTAAGGTATATCGAGGCAATACGCACAGTATGCACATATGCCAATTAGAGACTGACCAGTTGCAGTCCTAAACACATCGATGGGAAGATCCAAACAAACAATACTAAGTGAATTCAAACTTCACCCCATCGCACAAGCAAGTGGCTATCAGGACTCAGTGGCCGAGTGGATAACGCGATGGCGTTTGAAGCGAGGGTGCTGGGTTCGAGTCCCAGAGTGAACATCAACTCTGAGATGCAGGTACATCCAGCTGACGAGTCCCAAATAGGACGAAACGCGCGTCCTGGATTCCACTGCTAGCCACTATCCATCTCTGCTTACCATGCTTGTGAATTAAGGTATATCGAGGCAATACGCACAGTATGCACATATGCCAATTAGAGACTGACCAGTTGCAGTCCTAAACACATCGATGGAAAGATCCAAACAAACAATACTAAGTGAATTCACAAATACACCTAGTTTTAATTAGTTTTAAGTGAATTCAGCTCAACTGTATATCGGCTGAAAACTTTCAAACACCACAAATCATAAAACGACTTTTTCGTGTGCTTCTTTACCATTTCTTACATTGAATAGACAGACATATATTTTAGTAAATCACTGTGAAATACTTAGTAAGATTAATATATAGTTACTGATGAAGTGACAAAAAAATTTACGAAATAGTTCGATTTCCATTCATTGTGTGTATACAGTTGGATAAAACTTATAATCATTTTATGATTTTCTTAGTGAATAAATATTAGTGTTTTCAATGAATAAACTGAATTTTAAATAGAAGACATACTTTTCTGAAAGGTATAACAAGATTATTTCAGCTTCACAGTACACACAATACCAATTGGTCACTTGTTATTTAAAGTTTTTCACTATAAAATCAAATGTTGAAAATATCTACTTTTTGTAATAAAATACTTAGGATTAAGATCGATGGGAAGATTCAAACAAACAATACTAAATGAATTTAAACTTCACCCCATTGCACAAGCAAGTGGCTATCAGGACTCAGTAGTCAAGTGGATAACGCGATGGCGTTTGAAGCGAAAGGTACTGGGTTCGAGTCCCAGAGTGAACATCAACTCAGATGCAGGTAAATCCAGCTGACGAGTCCAAAATAGGACGAAACGCGCGTCCTGGATTTCACTGCTAGCCACTATCCATCTTTGCTTGCTTAGGATTAATAGTTTATGTATTTGATTAATTACATCATTATTTGGAAAAGTATCTTTCCTATAGTAGGTAAATAAATAGGAATATATATATATATATATATACTAAAGTTTTTATTTTCTTGACAGAATTATTTATGCATGTTTTACCATAATTGCATCGCATGACAAAAATGATTTATTTCGACAGTTAATAATTACTTCACGAATGTATTTCTTTAATTGGTTACTTTTGATAAGTAATAAACTCAAATTACCATTGCATCTACTTGGATTACTTAAAAGGTCAATAAAATTATTTTTGATGGGCAAACTTTTTATTAGGAGTTAAAGGATTAGGGTGTTTTTAGTTAAAACAGTTGTTCGAACATTTATATTATTGTATTAAATTATACTAAAGTTTCGAATTTCATTATTTGTGGTGTTATAGTTCCAATAAATTGAAATTTTCAACATTACTTACTTATAATGTGGTCAAATATAAAATTACGAGTTGAGTCTTTGTTTTACATTTTGTTCGTTTGATCAGTGATGTGAACCAATGATTGGTGCATAACAAAATCTTCACCTACGGTCCTGGGTTCCTGAGATTGACGATCTTAAAAACTTCTAAAATGCAAGGAGATCAAAATAACTAGTGTAAATCCCTGTATTTTGTGTACTTGAAGAGGTATTTAACCTCGTCGTATGCACCTATTATTGTAGGCCAGCATCAACATCAGCCATAGTTAAATAGATTCACTGCATGGATGTCATGTGTTAAATTCCGAGGCATTGCTCCAAAATTGATTAGTTTAAATAGGAGTAAGCTGGAATGGATTTAATGATGATCATGTGTGATGGTACACTATTATTATTGAAAAAAATTAGCCTAAAGCTGAAAATCAAGATCTTATTCATGAGATATCTCAGCTTGATGAGATATAAATGCTCTTAACATAATAGTTAACGTGAAAATGTTACCCACGTACCATTTGAGACCTAAACCAACCTTAAGTAACTGACTTATCAAAATATTATCCACAGTTTAAAAATTAAACTTGTAT